ATATTGTCACAGCTGCTTTGTCCCATGATTACAACAGTAGAAAGGACTGGGCACCAAGTCAGGAATGTAGTCCGAGGCAGATTTATTGGAGAAGAAAAATCTCCATGTTTTGGTTCACATAGGCTTGATAAAGGGTCCTATGTCAACCAAAACATTGTCATTTTTCTTTTGCAAGAAATCTGCCTGGAACTATGTTGTTGACTTTGTGCACAGTTCTTTCTACTGTAGCTACTGTGAAGTTCTCACTGAAAGTGTCTTCTCATTTATGCATGTACATTGCCTCATGATTAGGCTGCACTCAATAATGTGTTTGTACTCGAACATAGTGGTGATATCACTGGCCTGGAGCTGGACAATTAAGGAACACAATTACTACAGTCCATATTTTTTTTTAAATCACTATTTAGTAGATATATCCCAATTAATTTAATTCTGCATTTTTTTTCCCTTTGGGAATATATCTAAACACAGTTTGCAAAAGTTGCAGATCTCTTGTCTGCAGCCTTTGTAAGCCTTCACCATTTCCCCCAATCTAGACTTTCAGTCTATCCTGGGGAATACACCAATAAAGGGCTTTTTATTGGAATGAGAAGCTTCTGTGCCGGAACCACAAGCACACGCGACTGTTATAATGCTGTGGAAAGCACTTTGAGAAGAGCACAGCCAGCCTGCCGTTTTCATTAGATCAGTTGAGCTAACAGATGCAAAATAAAAATTTCCTGGCTCTATGACTGACAACCAGGGTGGTCTTTTTGCCCCAATTATAAAATTGCCTTTAATAAACTGTCACAATGGTGACAGACTCCAGGACTTCAGCTCCAACAGCCTCCTAATCTGACCCTGCTTGAACATCCGGTGATAACATCAGATGACCTCCATACGGTATGATCTGTTACAGGTCTGTCTTATCATACTAAATGCTCTGTCAGGTGCAGGTCATGGGTTTTCCCATATATGTTTAGTCATTCAAGGTTTACCAGACCTGTGCACAAATCCTTTTCACCTGCTACAAACAAATCACATTCCTGCTCATCTACGACAGACGAAATCCTGGATTTGTGCACAAGTCTAACGTTTACCTCTTCCACTACTGTATCCACTATTTATTATGTATACTGATACTAATTAATGGCCTACTTCTGGCCTAAGAATATGTGGTATCCTCTTATCTTAAAGTGCCGTAGTGCAAAGAACCTTCAACTGTATCCATTCGGTCGGGATGATATCAGCCCTGCCTTATGGGCTCACTGGCTTGTTGGTAAGTAGTTCATGTATGCAAAACAGAATAAAATATATAGTGCTCACTGATGCAAATTTATGTTTGATAAAAAAAAAAAAAATAGGAGAGATACTCATAAGTATGGAGCATTCCTCACCAAAGGATCATGTGGTCCCGGGCTCCTCAAACAATAAGGGTGTAGTCCAAAACAGTTTAAAATATTATCTATTTTATTAGATTTGCTAGCTAATAAAACAATAAAAAAAATATATACTACACTATATTTTTCTATATTTTCTGTCTCCACATATTCTACTGCTTTTCTAAACACCTCTACCTCAAGAAGTACACCAAGGTGCTACCCCCTCTTCTTATCTGTTTACACCACAGATTATTGATCTGATGCAAAATAAGTATCTCAGAAGCTGCTCTGTAATGTGACCAGTCAGCACGGTGGTCAGACCCTTGCCCCAATCTATTTTAGCTTACCATTTCCAAGTCTCTTTTGAAGTCACAATAGCGAATAATCAGGATCATTAAATCTGTTCCCACAGCACATGATCTTGTTCCATTCACTCAGCTTTTGTGTTACATGCTAAGTACCTACCACTTGTCTGGTGTCATTTAATTTTCGTTGATAATTAAATGTATTGGGAAGTTTGAGTCATTGCCAACAGCGCTGTTAAGCAATATTACAAGGTGCTCCCCGATATTCACCTAGCAAAGCCTGAATACAGACAAATGGGAGTTAATAGGGCAGTTAAATTAATCAGATATCCTTAAACACTCCTTAACCCCTTAAGGACCAAACTTCTGGAATAAAAGGGAATCATGACATGTCACACATGTCATGTGTCCTTAAGGGGTTAAAGTTTTTTGTAATTTAAGTTTTTTATTGAATCATAAAAGATAACACGTTCCAATAACAGCATGTGTACAGTAGAACCATATGTCACAGGTAACACTTCAAAATATATTGCATAAATATGGATATTGCCTAATTTATATTATGTAAACTGTTTAATGAGGTGTCTCAAATGGAAGAGCAACGTGAAAATAGACTATTACTGCTATTATTAACTTGCATTATGAGTTGGAGTTGAAAGACACATGGTAATATAGTGGACTATAGCACAGGCGTAGATCCAGATCCTAATCTCGGAGGGGCACTAGTAGATTATTTAAAGGAACAATCCAGGCACAATAACCACTACAACACTCTGTAGTGGTTATGGTGCCAGGAGTGCCGTGTCTCACTCCCAGAGTAAGTAGTCAAACCGTTTGACAGCTTACCTGGGATCTGCAGTGATAGGAGCAATAATAGGGAATAGGGCCATTAGTAGAGGTTAGGGACAGTAGTGTGTGTTTGTGAGGGGTGCAATGTGTGTGAGGGGCGTAGTGTGTGAGGTGCAGTGTCTGGGGAGAGCAGTGTGTGGGTGTTGGGTGCAGTGTGCCACTTGAGAATATACATTTATTTGCATTTTTTTAATGTATTCATTTATTTCATTTTAAATTTATAATAAAATTATTATTATTTTTTTATCCCCCCTCCATCCTTACCTTTGCTTGGGAGGGGGGACATTACAAGGCAATCCCTGGTGGTCCTAGTGGTCGCAGTGAGTGAACTCTAGCCTGCGGAAGACTATATCGTGGAGTGGGGAGGCAATTGCCCCGTTGTGCACCCTCTCACCCCCCCTGGATCTGCCACTGCTATAGCAGATGTTCTATGTGAGCATATTAATAAAATAATAATCAAAGTGAAACGTTTCACAAAAATATCAAATAAACTTAGCATTGCTGTAGAGAAGGTCTGCAGCCTACTCAGCTGATACCTGCAATTTGAGAGCCATTACCACTGGATTACAGTCAGAGGGGGTCGCCCCACCTGCCCAAGCTTTAATACAAGCCAGCACGATGCTCCCTAGAATCCAATTGTGTCTGGTGTTAATACTTGAGATCCTCTGACTGGGCAAGCTGTGCGGGGGGATATGGCCCCAGTAAGTTTGCAGCCTAAGCAAGTGAAGGCAAGCCTGGAAGTCGGACCTTTGGCATATGTTTGTGTCTCCTCCTCTGGGATGGAGAAACGGGAGAAACTCTGCCATACTTCATTGGCCAGCAGACAGGTCCTGGGAGTGCTTGGCTCAGCATATGGGTGTATGGGTATACTATTAATTACTTGAATGTTTAGCTTTGCCAAAAATTGTCCTGCCAAAAGCTTGAAGAAGTGGGTCCACATGGGTGGGCAGCTGCGGGAATGCCTGAACCTGAGGCCTCAACCCTCCAAACCGCTTGTGATTACAAATACCTCTTTGCGTTCATGAGCCCTTATCAGTGGAGACCTGGATATCCCCCATCGGCCCAAAAGGAGGGGGGATTAGGGTCCAAGGATAAGTTTTCACCAAACCAATGCCGCATGCCCCACCTCAGGTATGTCTGCAGGTGGCAGAGAAGCCTAGCATGGTCAATGCCCACCAGATCCAATCAAATGCTGACCAAAGACTTGGCAGTGTGTTTCTCAGGAAGATTATCAGTGTTTGCCAAATATAAAACGGTTTTGTCGATTATTAGGTTTAGTGAGAGGTTTTCTCTGAGGCTCTCCAGCCACATGCAACTATCTTGGTTGGTTGTCAGACCCCAACTCCGCTCATATTGTTCCTCAGCGTAGCTACTGCAGCTTATTTTTCTCTCACCCCTTTGTAAGTCGTTACATAAGCTTACTATATCTTTTAAAGTTTAATTCAAGCTGCTAACACTCATATACTAATCTCTTAAAATTCTATCCCCATTACATTACTTCACAAATGGATAGCTACAGCCCATTGTCAGTCACTCTGCTCTGCCAGTGATCTTCACCTGTCCCCCTGTCTGCACCTGTACTGCTGACTCTCGCCTACAGGATTTCCCATGGTCAGCTCCATTCTTTTACCTTCGTGCAGACTTATCTGTTATTTTATTTTCTGCGTTACTCCTCTTCTTGTGTTTTGAAACCTAACCTCTAGATTTGAAGCACATTCAAGCATGGTGCTCAATAACCTCTCGTTACAGGTTAACATCTGTAATAGTTTGTCTCTTTGCAGTTATATCCACACATTATATAATGGCACTATATTAATGCAGGTTATAATCATAGCGTTTTTGCTTTTTTTTTTTTTTTTTTTTTAGAAAACCCCAAACTGTAGAAAATTGAAGCCCAAATAACAACAACAAAAAAGCAGATTTGGAAAACCTCTCCAACTCTGCTAAAGTCACAGTTCTGTGTTTTGGCCTGAAAGTTGCCATTCAGATTTCAATTCACTATTGGGCTTTACTGAATAAACCACATGCTATAATGGACAGACTGTGTCTGCCACCACATGGAACACAGGATAAAATCCATGAAAGCTGTACTCTGCCTCTGCTTATGTAAAGTAGAACATGTGCTGGGACAGCATTAAGCAGTCTGTGCAGCAATTAAAACAGCCACGTCTCCTAAATAATTGCCAAATCTTTATTTGGTCCAAACTCAACAGGCTTTTTTCATCTGCAAAAGAAACTCCCACCTTTCTAAATGTACATTTTATATACTACAGATGTTGGTTTACAAGATTCAGAGCTTGTAACACATTGTTTCACATAAGCAAGGCAGCTGGTCCTAAGCTTGACCACGCAACTGGGCACGTATATCATTTATGCTTTAGTCTTTGATGGTATACAAGAACACAATGGAATACCTTGTAAAACTAATTAGCAAGTAACAAAACAAAATAATGAACATGTAACATGCAATTGAAGGTAGTCTACTGGATTGTCGAACATGACGATGACAAACTGGGTATTGCTGGCAAAGCCAATTCACCTGCCAGTCCTAATTATACACCTGACAATGAGGAACAGTACAGCAGATTGACTTACATTAAGCAGTTTTGTTTTTTTTCCATCACACACAGACATCTTTGGCAGAATTCAATTAAAGCAAGTGTGCTCAGCCCAAGCCCAGAGGGCCATTTGTGGCCCGCAAAGCTTCAATCGACAGATCAACAGGTGCATGTCCTGTTTAATTACATCAAACCTTCTTAGTCTGAAATAGAATTCTTTACAATGCCAACTTCAAGGCCAGTATTTAAATATTTTCCAAAGCTTGAAATTTCAGCCTGCAGGATACACTGCTCAGTATGTGGCTGCAAAATCTGAGATCCAGAGTTCTGGAATTTTCACGTGCCTATGATAAGCTACCACAGAAATGGTTCCACTCCTTGAATTATTATTAAATAAGTAGAGTAAGCATTCTTATTAACTGAATTTTTCATTCTTATTGTGTGGCCCAGGCTATGTACCAAATTTTTAAACAAGCCCTCAACTTCCTGAAGTTTGAGTATTCCTGACGTAGAGGTCAATAACCCATGTTAGTTCTGCTGTTCCTGAATTTCAAGTTTCTACTCATTACATTCCTGAAGCTCAACGTCTCCATTCATGATTTTTTGTCCCACTCATATAAAGTTACTTCTTTCTAAACTTGAGGGAAAAAAATACCTGTATAAAATCCTTCTCTCTACATCCAAGTCAGTACCATACTATTCCTGCCAATCATTTTACCGGTGCTCTTGTCTCACCATATAAATTTCTAAATTGGTTACATTCCTTATATTTCTCCCATCTGTTCTCAGGATACTAGTCCAGTTCCTCCTTACGCCAATAATCCATATCAACTTTCTTCCCCATTGGTATTGGAAACCCTCAGATGAGGGAGGAATTAAAGGGTTAGTGTAGTATCAACATTAGGTACTAAAGGTTAATGCATGACTAGGTCTAAAAAGATGCTCACCATGTGAGGACATCAAGCATTTTTAACTCTATCCAATGAAATTATTTTCCTGCTTTGTAGACAATCACCTTGATCTACCAATATAACGTTATCAATTAGAAGTATTGCATCCAGTGTTTGTTTTTTTATGAGGAACATCGTATCATGTTATGTGATTATAAATTATTGAACACAAAATCAAAGGGTCTGAATTGAAGGTGGAAATGGCCCTAGTTTTGGTCAAAATGTGTAAAAATAAATAATTGCAAAGTTTCACATTGTCATAAAAAAAGGAATATATAAGGGACCATATTTACATCTTCTAGAACAATGAAATAATTCACAAGTAAGTTTTGAGTTCCACTTCAAGGAACACTCCATACAATTAAATCAATTTAGCTTACTGAAATGTGTTGTGGAGCATATCCATGCATATTTTCATTGAGGGTATATATACTAAATAGTGATTTTGTTTATTTTGTATTTAAGCAGAGTTGTGTCCCTTTACCTGAATATCACTTTCATAAATACATTCTTTTGCATAAATACACAACAGGTGCGATGAAATAACATTCCTAGGTGAAAGTGTTACTAAGGGTCACTTTTCTAGTAAACTGATAAGATAGGTTGGTTGCCCCTCACTTGTAACAGTTTGAGCAGTCATAAAGGCCTGAATAAATTTTAACGGTTCATTGCATGCTCAATAATCACTCAATGCTTTAAAATTGAGAAAAAAAAAAAACTTGTTTATGGCATAGGACAGAAATACATCCTTACTCAAACAAGTTACAAGGCATAGGTGGGCATATGTGTTACCATGCTGGGACAATTGTAAGAAAAGGATTAGACTTTCCCCCCAATAATAGCCTGTGAATACTACTTGCCTTGTGTGTGCACACCTTTAGAGCATGTAATACTTATTCTTAAATTTAGCAATGCAACCAGATGGCAAACATGGTACCCTTTTACAATTAAACCATGGGAATCCACTATATGTGAAACAAATGACTGATTTAGAAATGTATTCAGATTTATATTATATGAAAAGCATTTAAACACAAACCTGTCTTAGATCTGGCTTATTGTGTGGGTTTCAGACTGGAAATTGCTAGAAATGGTTGAGACCACTGTTTGACATATGGACTAAGTCTCCAAGCAATGGGCTGGTGAACTAATTTTAAATGTAAAAATTAGGTCCCCAAACAAATGCAATGTATGGAATTTGGATCCCTGACAAAACAAAGGTTAGCTAACATAAAATGCCATACCCACCCATCTCTACTTACTCAGACACTGAATCAATTTCATGTTACATCCCTAGTCACCAATGCTTAAAGGACCTCTAAAGGCACGTTGAACCAGTTTATCTCAATGAAGTGGTCAGGGTGCAGTGTCCCTTTAGTAGAAACTGCAGTGTCTTCATTGTAGGGTTAAAAACACCTCTAGGAGCTGTTTTGCCTGACAACCACTAGAGAAGTTCTCCCTGTGAGAACAGAGTCAGATCTGGTTTATTATTGCAATTTATATAGAGCCAACAGTTTCCATAGCGCTTTACAATATTATGAGAGGGAGGATTTAACTATAAATAGGACAATTACAAGAAAACTTACAGGAACGATAGGTTGAAGAGGACCGTGCTTAAACTAGCTTGTTCTCAATCAAATGCTGCTTCGAGAAAGAATTTGATTGGCTTTGGCAACACTTGTGTAGGTTAATTATGCATACATAACCAAGTCATTATATACTGGAGAAAAAAATACCACAAACACCTAAATTTAAATTTTACTGTAATGAGTAATTTTATTTAACTTAATTTGCATCATCTGTAGAGTAGTAGACAAATATGAAGGCTCAGTTTAAAAACCCTACTTAAACTAGTTGAACACATCAAGTAGAACATCTTAAGTTTCTTTGGGGGACATTTATAAAAGTGTCACTGTGAGCTTCTGAGTCAAGGTTTTCAAGCAGTTGCTGAATAAACAGATGGAAAGAGTAAGAACATTCCATCAGTTCCCATGGTGATTGCATCACTCTTAGAACTTTACACCACAGTCAGGTCTTATATATAACCCCCAATGTGCACAGTTACAATTGTAATATGCATTCAATTTGCCTTCAATTCTGTTCATAATTTATAATAACTTACTTTAACGATCTGCAATATATTATATAGAACAGTGACATAATTAGACATTTAGGAGTAACAGTGGGGAAGTGGAGTTATTACCTTTATTAGAGCATCACTTTAAACTATAAAAAGAACAGTTTATAAAAATTAGACTTCAGAAAGACAAAATCTTGGGAGAAACATTAGCTCGAACTATTCGAATACTGTAAAACATGATTATGAAACAAAAGTTGTAATGCCAGCATTAGGTGGACTATGGAATCTCTGAAGTAATGGTGTAAAAATAAAAATAAAATGCATCTCCACAGTATATTATTACACACTCTCTAGAATGACAGCAGCACCATGACAATCTTGCATCAAGGACTTCAAGGGGATCAGAGATATAGCAATAAGACCTCCAGCTTGCACTAACAGCATCTGTCTTCAGGGCAAGCCTTCATAAATGCCATCTTCACCGACACCTCCGCAAAAGTCCACTTCATGTCTGAAAAAGAGTAGAGAACAAATGATATTTAAAGAAACCGTGCCCATTATGTCAAAACTTTTCATTTGGTGCAAGTTGCGTGATACTTACAAGATAAGTCAGGTGCTGGAAAATGTGGCTAGGAACGGTGATGGGGAATTGCATCCATGTGAACATTAAGCTTCATCTCATTATCAATAATTTGGACAAGTTGCTGCATTGATGGGAGGTGACCAGATTCTAGCTTTGACCACACTGGTACATCTACAAATGATAAAAAATAACCATTAGACTGAATACAACTGGCAAATGAAATCAGGGCTGTATTATAATAATTATACGGATAATGCATTGAGACAGGAAAAAAAATAAATGTACAAGGTTAGAGCAGCCACAGCTGCAGTGCAATTTCTACTATATCACAATGAGAAGCAACCAGTGGTTTGCCCCCTCCTTATCACATCACCACAGTATAAAGTAAAGGGTTCTGACACAAATAAAACCCACAAACCTTTTAATTTACATAGGGCAGTGCCTGCTAGGGAGTTCGCTCAACAAGATTTTCAATAGGTTTTTCTCCCCATCTATACATTTGCAAGCAACACAATGGTTAAGACAATGCATTGAATAAATTTGAAGCTTTTTAAAAAGAGCCACTGTTTTTGACATGACAGGTACCCATTAAGTTGTGAATATTTGCAGACAAAATTTTGAGACCTTCTATTCATACATCTCTTTCATTGCACCCAGAAAAGGAGACTCAAATATATAAAAGTGAGGGATTAAAAAAATAAAAATAAAAAAAAATATATCAGCAACCATCCACTATTAAAGAAAATCATCCAGTTGACAAGCCAAGATAAACCAAATTGTTAATAAATACTATGCAGTTAATAATTCAGCACTTCTATGCCGATGTTTAACGGTGAGAAAGATGCAAAGAGTACAATCTACACAACTGTTCACTTGTGATTTCTCGGGGGGAAAAAAAAGTGTTAACTATTAGGAAACAGAAAGGAATATAACAAGAAAAAAAAGTGTCTGAATGCAAATCTCATGGACTGTAGCACAGGCTAAAAAGTGGGGATCGACCGATTGTCTGGCCGATATTCTGTATTTTCAGCAATATCGGTATCGGCCAATAAAGATACCGATATTGCAGACTAAGGCTGCCATCAGGTTCTGAGAGGCCCGCGGCAGTCTTGGGGAGCCCAGCACACTCTTACTTACCTTCCCAGCAGCTCCCTTCAGCTCCCCTGACTAACTCTTGCAAGCCCCGTGGCTTAGACAGGGGAGCTGCAGGGAAGGCAAGAGTCTGCTGGGCCCCCCGGGACCACAGCGGAGCCCCCAGGGAATGCCGTATCCCCCCTCCCTGGCCTGGTAAGAAGCAAGGAGAGGGGACTAAAACAAAATGTAAAAAAATACAAATGTTAAAATAGCCCCCCCATCCCCTTTTACACACACTACACAAACAAACAAACACTGTCACTGCATCCACTACACAAACACTCTCACTGCATCCACTACACAAACACTCTCACTGCATCCACTACACAAACACTCTCACTGCATCCACTACACAAACACTCTCACTGCATCCACTACACACACAAAAATTCTGACTATTTTGTGCATTTACCTTCATAAAAATAAATAAATATATAAACATGTTCAGTTAACAACAAAGTTTAGCCAGTGTGAAGGTAAGGCGCTATATTTTATATGGTTAAAACCAAAAATAGAAAATGTTCCGTGCATTGGAGAGCAGAGATAAAATAAAAAAATACCTTGACTTGTCTCATATAAATCATATGCATTTCCCTAAAAACATGAGCAAAAAACAAAACATAGTGCAAACTGTGGTACAAAGGTAGGTTTATACAAAGGAGAATATACATTTTCCACTCACACTTTTAGGAGCTAAATACAAACCCAGAGCCATCCACATCAGTTAACAGTAGATTTGTGTGGAAAAGTTTTATTTTTGCAAAACTGTAAATGTACAGAATATTGGTATCAGTAAGTTATCGGCCTGAAAGTTCGCAGATTATTGGTATCGTTCTAAAAAACCAATATCGGTCGATCACTAGTAAAAAGATATGTAAAATTTACCATTCAAAGTGACTTCAAAGGCTCCTGTGGACATACACTGGTTCTCAATCATGTTGCTCAGGAAGAAAACCATCATGCATGCATAGACCTGAAAGACAATTCAAAGACTCAATTTTAAAGATCAGTCACAAAAAAAATAGGATTTTATTTGTGACTTAACACCCAACAAACAACTGCGAGAAATGGAGATAATAGTAAGAACTGTACCCACACAATATACAGGCCTATCTTAATTGATTGTATGGAACTTGACAGTATGTGGTTGGAGAAAGTTGTCCTTTGCAGCATTTCTCCATTAATCTACGCCGGAGACAAAGGAATCTCTACAATCTCTGATTTATATATTCTGTCTGTTTTGGAATTTCAAAGAATTTTCCAAACACACAGGGTTAAATGAAGTGAGGGATTTTCAATTAAAGGTCAAACTAGCTGAGCTGTAAGAAAATCTCTAACTCCGCATTGCTTTCAGTTAGGATACTACAGCCTTCAAAATGAAAGTCACTTTTACAAATTATTAACAATTGAGAGTTTCATAAATATAGGATCTACATAAAATAAACTCAAAGTGACAGTGCCACATTAAACAGACAGCAAATCAGAATGCCTTTATACATCAAGAACATTAAAAAATATTTTTTGAGGAAGTGACACTAAAAGGCAGCAGCTGCTTTTTGCAGATGTTGTCCTTAATGATATGCTATAGAGGAGCTGGACTGAGAGAACAGTGTGACTGCCCAGCCCCCCTTAGCACATCGGTAATGGGCTGAATGAAACCTGTAGATTGCACGTCCAAATATATATTTACATACATACAATCCTGTACTGCAAAGTAGGTTTTTAACTCCCCCCAAATAAAACAAAACAAACAGTTTTAAGCTACAATTAAAGGCATCCTATAGTGCCAAGAAAAACTCGTTTTCCTGGCACTATTAGGCTCCTGGAGTGCCCCCCTTAAATCCTCTTCAGCCACTTACCTGAATCCAGCGCCAATGTCCGTCAGCGGTGCGTCAGGCTGCCCCCTCGCACCTCGCACCTCCCCCTGCCATCAGGGGAGACCTAATGCGCATGCGTGGCAATGGCCGCGCGCTTTAGACCTCCCCATAAGAAAGCATTATTCAATGCTTTCCTAAGGGGAAAATCTGACACTGGAGGTCCTTGAGGATGTCCAGCGGAAGCCCTCTAGTGGCTGTCTGGTAGACAGCCACAGAGGGCAGAATTAGAGCTGCAGTGTAAACATTGCAGTTCTCTGCAAAAGGGTCACAGCACCCAGACCACCTTAATGAGCTGAAGTGGTCTGGGTGCCTACATAACTATATCTGGCACCTTAATTTGTTAATTGCTGCGTTTACTTAGAACACACTGCAGCCAGTTGCTACAGGTGCCTATAACATGACTCCCTTTTTTCTTGATGGAACAACTATTGAATTCCTAGAAATTAATATAAAGTTTATGTAACTATAGAAATAGAATATGATTTCTTCTTAATAGGCTATATGATATTTTAGGAATAATCTCAGTATTTGACACAACTGAGATATATCCCTATTCCAGCTATTCTTTCCCAGGAGGAATATATATATATATTTATTTTTTATTTTTTTTAAATAGGTTTTAACTTCAGTACTCTAACCTTTTGGCCAATTGGGTCCCTTCTTTTTAACTCTCCATGCGACGTACTAGACATTCTGCTGGAAACCGAAGATAGCATGCACTGGGTCCCAGCCGCACCCTCTTCCATGTGAGAGGCACCAGGGGTGCCCCCTACGCCTGCCACTGGTTTCATTGTAAACCGATTTGGATTATTAAGTTTGATATCATTGTGTGTGAAAGCGGGCGCTTAAGAGTAACTTAAAAGTTATATTATATTAGCAACTGTAGCGCTCTATGGGTTCTCCTACTATCCCACAGAAATCCAACAGTGAACAGACACAATGTGCTTTATAGGGTTTAGGGGATATTGCCCTTTTTTTCCCCCCCAAGACACAACAGTATATAGCGCAGAGCTAAAAATTTCTGTGTGAATGAATCAGAGCTTACCCATGAGGTTATGCAGCATAAATGATTTCATACATACAAAGGGAAAAACACAAAAGTGTGTATAATATTGTTTCTCATTTCATTGTAACAATATTTCACTATTATACACCCTTGCTTTCTTCCCTTTGTATGTAAGAAATCATTTATGCTGCATAACCTCATGGGTAAGCTCGGATTCATTCACAAAACAAATTTTTAGCTCTGCGCTATATACTGTTGTGTCTTGGAAAAAAAGGGCAATATCCCCTAAACCCTATAAAGCACACGGTGTCTGATTTTGATGATTGCCAAATAAGGGATTGATCCATAGTACACACACAAAAGTTGGGGTGGGGGGATATAAATATCCTATATTGGATAAACACACGCATACTAGTGGTGTGAGATATTTTCCCCTGGTTTAAGAGTAATATTTAAATTGTGTTATGGACAAAAAAATTACAAATGGAAAAATAATATTAACACGTTTCATGCAGAAATTGTGGCACATTTGCAATAATTTTTCCCCTAAATTTTTCATGCACCATTTGAAATACTACTTATTGGGTATTTGTGAGTAAACCTCAGAATGCTTGAAAAGTAGACAGATGATATAATAAAATGATTTAAAAAAATGAAGCAGCTCTTTTAAAGGTTAGCATAAAATTAAAAAATGCCTTCTGACACACCCCCCACCTTCAAAAAAAAAAAAAAAAATAGTGATCCACTATTAGAGTTCTAGAAACTGTTTGACTCCATACAATGTGGTGTACACAGTAGTGGTTATAGTGCTTGGAATGTTCATTTAAGCTTAATACACAACTACATGCCATGTTACCTACATTGCCACTGTTCTTGCAGGGTCATCCACATGTCCCAGCAGTTGTATTGACTCTGTACACTACTTCATTAAACCAATTTACATAAGAGTCCGCAATACAAACAGAACAGACGTTAGCTTGCTATGCATGGCTACTTTTCTTATGTCTGAATTTATAATCCCTATCACAAAGTAACCTTTATCCTCCCCTTTCTCAACAGGCAGCACCTGACCTGAGGACTTTATATAGAATATATCTATTCCCGTTTATTTTCTTAGATAATTCTGTTGAATATAAATTAGGAAAAAAAAAAAAATTATTAGACAATTGTACATATCTTTTAGGAGCCATGTCCTTGCTGTACTCATGCTCATGCCTAAGAGCACAACACCACTGTGTATGGAGTATCCAGCAAACCACAAGGCCGCCATAGAGAATACCGTGTCACTAGTAACGGCTGGGGGAATTGACAAAGCTTGAGGGCAGTAGCTTCTCTGCCTTTTGTCAAGTGGAGAGAAAATAAAGATTTTATCTTTATTTAATATTTTTTTGGGGGTTGGGAAGGAGACTGGTGTTACAGAGCCACTTCAAGAAAAAAAAAAACCTTAAAACTGTATTGTTTGACAAAGTGTATTTCTATATTCTGTAGGTTTTCCACGTGTGAGCTCTTTACTGGCAAACCATCAGAATATCAGCTACCATGAACCATCTTAAAAGGAAAGTTAAAAAATATTGTCGATTATATATATATAAAAAAAAAAAAATGTCTGTTCTGAAAAGTGGTGCAAACATCGAAGAGGGTTGGAGTCACCAATGCTATCTGCTAGTTCCCATGGTTTCTGCTTCAGTTTTAATACTTTAGATTACAACGCATTAAATCTAACCCCCATTGTATGGGGAAGATGAAAAACAGGAGTATATCCCAGTATGCAAAGAAGTGAGGTGGAAAATAAAAGTAAGGAGCCACATAAGGACATGGGGAATAAAACTAAAAATATGAATGTCACGCATTACCAATTAAATGACGATGTACAGTTTTTAACTGTGCAGTTAGACTTCTGCTCCACACACACACACACATTACCTTAATCTGTTGCTTAGTGGTGATGTGTTTGGTTCCGTAGCTAATGAGTGTTTCTCAGATACAAGATGATGTAACATAAAGCAATGTATTGGGAAATGGATTTATTTTGTTTGTGCACGGTAACTAGTAGATTTAAGTCATTGTAAAAAATATACTGGCTACAAAGAAGAATACGATCATGAAGACAATTATGTCCAGTGTATAATTATATTGCACTAGCCTAATTATGAACATTAAACATGTTTTGTTGCAACTATTATTAGGGGTTTTTTGTTTTTTTTATAATATCTTGATAAGTGCCAGAACTCTGAAACACTGATACATGTATTAAATAACAAAAACACATTCTAAAATAATATTATGAGACTGCATAATTTGTGCTAATGGAATTTAAACCAAAGTAGTCATACACTTATATCAAAAGATACAATTAATTTGCCTAATGAGATTATGTCAAAAGGCAGAGCTCTGTATTTTTACCTTACATGGCAGTTTTCCATGAGATGACAAGAAAATACATCTACAAGTGTAAGTAAATACCATTGTGTGTGTATGATGATATTTGGGGTCTGACTGTCTTCCCTAGACCTGTGTTTGAGGTCTTTTGAATGGGTGAGAATATAAAGATGATGCAAATGGTAGTAAACCAGGAGGTGAAGATTGTAAAAATAACAGGGCCAAGGATGTGCTTTAACCCCTTAAGGACACATGACATGTGTGACATGTCATGATTCCCTTTTATTCCAGAAGTTTGGTCCTTAAGGGGTTAAAGGGGAACTGCAACTTCCCAACCAAGCTTTTTAAATAAATAACATTTAAAAAAAACAAAACATTTTTAGTTCAGACACTTTGTTAGGCAATGCATGTAAATTAGTTAACCCTGCAGTGCCTTATGCACAGGACATATGACCGTACATCACTGAATAAGTCAAGTGTTCATATTTGCATATGGAATTTCATGTTTAGATGTCAGAGCACAAGCATGCTCAAGGTGACAGATTGGGGAAGATGAACGAACATAAAAGAGTAGCATTTTTCTTTTTACTTACCTCCACTGCTGTATTCACCCCACTTAATAAAATAGCATTTACTGAGGAACTGACACTTCTCTGGAATTGACAGTCCCTCATGTATAGCTCTTTTACCCAAGCACCCACCAGGCAAGTTGACCATTACCTGAAGATGGTACTTGCAAAACACTGTCACTTTAATTAGCATTGGCATCTCACTGACCATTTCAGGATTATACAATAGGCAGAGACATATAAATAATGGGAGAACAGCAGCAATATTTAAAGAAAATAAATGAAAAATACAGACGTGAGCTCAAATACCTTATTTTCTTGTCCCCACTGCCATAGACTTGGAGCTTGCATGCCAAAAAATGCAAATGGGTCTTTTCCAACAACTATTAAACCTATTAATACTAATTTGAAGACGGACAGGAAGGATGCAATATGTCTAAGAAAAGGAGAGGTTTACAAATTAGATTTAAAAAAAAAAAAAAAAGTAAAAAATGAGCAGTTATAGCTTAAAGAACTACCACATTGTCCCCAATTTATACACGTCAGTCTAGATTATATTTTACTTGACGATTACACAGCAGTACACTTTAGAAATGTAACATTAATTTAGTTGTTTTGGTGCATAGACGCAGTCCCTTTACTCGATAATGTAAAATATTGGCGTTTCAGATGAAGGTTTACATGAGTCAAAGAACACGCATATAGTGGCCATCAGACTGAGTACCACTAAAGGCCCTCCCTACTTAAAACGTTTGAAAGTTTAAATTATGCACATTTGGCGTTATGATGAAATGAAGATGCTAAGACACAACTAAAGCTTCTCATAAGGACATATTGGCTTCAAGGAACTGGACTGTGTGAGATTGGAGACTGCTGTGCATGAGCCATAAGTCCTTAATGCTTGTCTATGTGTTTATGAGAGATTTTGGACTGGACAAACATACTTCCTCAAATGCTTCAGTAAGACCTTGGCTGTTCCCTTAAAAGGGGAACAGAGCTCATTCTAACTGTTAGATAAACTGCTTACATAAATAAGAAGTGATGCAATCAACAGTGTAAAAAAAGTACTTTCTAGTCATGGAGAAGGTAAAGACTTACAGCAAAAGACAAGATTTTAAAAAATGTGTTTTAGTGGATGGTCTCCATAATGCATTAGCTAAGGGGTGGGTGCACAACTGCAGCCTGGAGCAACATCCAGAGTATTTATTTAAAGTTAAGGTTACTTCATCTAATAAAGATATATTAAGCATTGCAGCAGGAAATGGACTACATCAGCTTAGATAAGGCAGCAAGCTTCCCCTTAATGTTAACCAAGGAGAAAGGATGTATTCGGAGTAAAGCATCATAACAAAACACCATGTCTTTTTTCAATATTTTGTAGATTATATAAGTCTTGTGTTAAATGTAATCATGTACATATTAACATATTTACACATGCAAGTTTTTTGGTTATTTATTTATTAATAGAATTGAAGGCTAGTCAACTTAGAAAATTACACTAGATTTGGGGATGGCTGATATTTTAGCTCCAGATACATTTCAGTTTACTTATCCAGAAGCGGGATTCTAGGAACAATGACAGCCTAACAAAGTTACAATGAGCAAGCAGAGTGACTGTCACCCACCAAAACACGCCTTGTCATCTATCTTCCAGTCTCATTTCTCTACCTGCTGTGCATTCCATGTAAATGTAGCAATTGCGCTAGTGTTCGTGCTCACATTTTAGTTGTTAAAACACGAAACTATTACTTTACAAAAGAACCAATGTTTCCCCACACAGGAGGGTGGACCTTATGGATCTGTACTATATTTACCCAGAGAATTTAAGAGCATTCAAGGGACACACAATGCTTCAAGTAGGGGCCAGGCTGTGGGTGGTCAGGGACCCTCATTCAGTGTTAAACTATTCAAAAATGGTTAAACACTGAACTTTAGCTTGCTGAAAAGACTTGTGTGTGAAGAGTGTGACATTTATTTTTATTCTAAAAAAAGTGCAGATTCTAACAGCAATTAACAATTTTATAACATTATTATATTACACCCCCTGGCTTTCAAGCATTTATTTCAACCTGTTTTTAGATATACCCATAACGAAAAAAAAATGCATTATTAAATGCATGTAAGCTTTCATTTGAGGTATATCCACTAAAAAGTGATTTTATATTTGGGCAGTGGAGTGTCCCTTTAATGCCATTTTATCGCAGGTAAAACAATTTCATGCTCCTGCAAAAAATAAATAAAAAATAGATGGAACCATAAGGATAGTGGTTTGGATTGCAAATCCCATAATACCACATATAAATGAAAAAACATTAAACTTACCTATATAAGGGTTGAGGAAGGTAATTCTCCCCCTCGATGCGGATGTCTGGGTACCGCTGGCTTATAACCCGCATGTACTCCTCAAACACCCGCCTGTACCCTCAGGAAACACTAGAGGGGGAAAAAAAAAAAAATTTGATTTTAGCACGCAGTTAAATCTTCTGGAAACACAGATGAATACGAAAATTACACAAACTTTAGATAAGCCAAGTATTGTGCTCACTAAGGCCAGGAACAATTATATAACGGCAGAAATAAAAAAAAAATTTAATATTTTTTTAAATCGTACTTGAGTCTGCAATACAGAAAAGGAATTTGTATGTCACACGCTCACTGCCTAAACAGACAAGCACAGCAGATAACTGATAGTCAAGATTAAAATTCACCTTTTATGGCACCAAGCTAAACAATATTGTAAACAGCACTGACCAGCAAGAGCAGGAATAATCAAGATCTAAACTAGTGTGAACTGATATGACATTATTAAGACACACTAAAGCTAAGCTTCGCAGCAGACTTAATTGACAGGTGCGGTCTACTATACAAGGCCTCTTTATGCAGTCATATTTGCCACAAATCCATTTTCATGTCATGAGAAAAAGGTACACAATGACGGATGGAAAATTACCCAAGGGACAAAAAAAAAAAAAAAAGGGAAGTTTCTGACAGCAACCATCATCTTAATACGGTCACAAACGGCAACTAAGAAGCCAAGTAAAAATTAGTTATGGGGTGTGCCATTTCCATTCTCTAGCTCACTTTAAGTAATTGAATATTATGTAATGTCATATCAATACATAATATATAACAAGGGAATTTGAAGCTAGTAGCATACCATAAAATAAGATGTTCTATGTTTAGGGATTATAGAAAAGAAAAATTATTTTTTTTTTTAAATGGACTGCAGTGACTGGAGGCCTCAGAAATTGTGACCTTTGGTCAAAGCAGGAATAGCACAGTGGGTGAAAGGGAAATGAAACAATGAAACAGGCCTACAAGTCCCTGATCAAAACACATCCATCTCCCTGCCCCAGCACAATACATCCCAACAATGAACAAAGTGGGGGCTATCAACATCACTTAGATGCACAAAGGCTTCTTTATCAAAAAGCACACAGTTTACATGCATGTCGCATGACATGACTTTGCAACATAGAAAAGGAAGTCTGAGCATCTGCATATGGTATGAATGATTACATATACTTACACTTTAATGCCAAAAAGCTGTGACGTAGAGCAACATTTAGCAGGTATTACACAATGATGCAGTAAATACATTGTAATATACGCAATAGAACAGTTTATACAGCAAAAATCTTCAGGGAAGAAAGTTTATTGTATAAATTGAAGCTTTGATACCTTAACCACCCCCCTCTTATGTATACAGTATATGTGTGTATATGTACACACAACATATATAAACACACACACTTTACAATTTTTAAAAAAACTTAAGGCATAAGACAAGCCCCACCTCCTTTGTCAAGATAGTGGATTTTGTGTCAAGAAAGTAGGAAAAAATACAGAAGACAAAGTAGTATTTGTATTATGTTTTAAAAAGAAATAGATCAGAAATGAATAACATTCTGAAAGATAAGAGGAAATAATAGGAAGAAGGAAGGCAGGTTTAAGGGGGTAGATGCACATTAGTGTTCTGAAAGCTTACAAGAAATCCCCATTTAGCTACTGATTACAAGGTATCGCTTCTACATTGTTGGTTTATTCCACACAAAACTACTGTTACCTTACCCTGCTTTAGTATAAATGACTTGACCCAGCCTAGTAGTTCAGTAGATTTTAACACAGTAACACTATAACATGCATTATGCCGTGCAAGCCAAATACTTGCATTGTAACATGTAGAAACCACTGGGCCAGAGCTCCACTGCAACCTGCCCCCTGAATCCACAGCCAGGGCTCCACTGCAACCTGCCCCCTAAACCCACAGCCAGGGCTCCACTGCAACCTGCCCCCTAAACCCACAGCCAGGGCTCCACTGCAAGCTGCCCCCTAAACCCACAGCCAGGGCTCCACTGCAACCTGCCCCCTAAACCCACAGCCAGGGCTCCACTGCAACCTGCCCCCTAAACCCACAGCCAGGGCACCACTGCAGCCTGCCCCCTAAACCCACAGCCAGGGCTCCACTGCAGCCTGCCCCCTAAACCCACAGCCAGGGCTCCACTGCAACCTGCCCCCTAAACCCACAGCCAGGGCTCCACTGCAACCTGCCCCCTAAACCCACAGCCAGGGCTCCACTGCAACCTGCCCCCTAAACCCACAGCCAGGGCTCCACTGCAACCTGCCCCCTAAACCCACAGCCAGGGCTCCACTGCAAGCTGCCCCCTAAACCCACTGCCAGGGCTCCACTCCAACCTGCCCCCTAAACCCACAGCCAGGGCTCCACTGCAACCTGCCCCCTAAACCCACAGCCAGGGCTCCACTGCAACCTGCCCCCTAAACCCACAGCCAGGGCTCCACTGCAACCTGCCCCCTAAACCCACAGCCAGGGCTCCACTGCAACCTGCCCCCTAAACCCACAGCCAGGGCTCCACTGCAACCTGCCCCCTAAACCCACAGCCAGGGCTCCACTGCAGCCTGCCCCCTAAACCCACAGCCAGGGCTCCACTGCAGCCTGCCCCCTAAACCCACAGCCAGGGCTCCACTGCAACCTGCCCCCTAAACCCACAGCCAGGGCTCCACTGCAACCTGCCCCCTAAACCCACAGCCAGGGCTCCACTGCAACCTGCCCCCTAAACCCACAGCCAGGGCTCCACTGCAACCTGCCCCCTAAACCCACAGCCAGGCTCCACTGCAACCTGCCCCTAAACTCACAGCCAGGGCTCCTGCAGCCTGCCCCTAAACCAGCCAGGGCTCCCACAGCAGCCTGCCCCTAAACCCACAGCCAAGGGTTCACAGCAACCTGCCCCTAAACCCCACAGCCAGGGGCTCACAGCAACCTGCCCACAAACCCACAGCCAAGGGCTCCACAGCAACCTGCCCCCTAAACCCACAGCCAGGGGCTCCCACGGCAACCTGCCCCCTAGGCACAACCAGGGCTGCAGCGGCCTGCCCCCCTAAACCCACAGCCCGGGCTCCCACTGCAACCTGCCCCCTAAACCCACTGCCAGGGCTCCACTGCAACCTGCCCCCTAAACCCACAGCCAGGGCTCCACAGCAACCTGCCCCCTAAACCCACAGCCAGGGCTCCACAGCAACCTGCCCCCTAAACCCACAGCCAGGGCTCCACAGCAACCTGCCCCCTAAACCCACAGCCAGGGCTCCACAGCAACCTGCCCCCTAAACCCACAGCCAGGGCTCCACTGCAACCTGCCCCCTAAACCCACAGCCAGGGCTCCACTGCAACCTGCCCCCTAAACCCACTGCCAGGGCTGCACTGTATCTGTAATGTAATATAGTGTGATATGATATAATGATATATGATGTGATGGTGCCAGGGACCCCCAGTCCGGCCTTTAATATAGCCCACCCCTGACCCCGTGGCTAGGCCCGGGCTGGCTGGCTGGCTGGCTGCAGGTGGTGGTGATGGTGGCTCCCGGCCTCACCCACCAGATCTGGAATTTGAGCAGCGGGCCGGCGGTGTACTGCATCCTCAGCTTCTTGCTGGGCAGGCCGCTGCCGTCCGCCGACACCCCGCTGAGCACCGCGGCCAGGAAGCCGGTAACAAGGAGCAGCCACGGAACACGCCTGACCGCCATCCTGGCCTCCGCAACCACACTACGGGAACTGCCCGGGGGGCGGGGACAGAGCCGCGCGTGCGCCAGCACGTCACACCGCGGGGAGGGGCGCCCGGGAGCCGCCATCTTTGTTTCGGGCAAACCGCCCTTTCTGCTTCCACAACTCAGTTGATTCTTTGCTGCCGCAAATCATTATATCTCTGCGCAAAAAGCATTTACTGCTACGGCCTGCTTTGTTTAACTGTTATTCAGCCACCATACAAAGAGGATAGGGGAATGACACCAAATATCCTCTCATCCCTCAGCCTTGCTTACAGGTGTTTATTATTATTATTCATTATTATTATTATTCATTATTATTCTGTATAGTGCATTCATTATGCACAATTCAGGTCCATGTTTCTCTGATAAGAAACCTGTTTTCTCCGATTAATAAAGGCTCAGTAGCTAAGCTAGTCCCAAGAGCTGACAGTCACACAGCCAGGCTGGTGTGTGTAATGGTGGCTGTGTGGTTATAGCCCTAGCTGTGGGAGCAGTGTGTGTGTCTCACAGGAACAACCCTAGGACTGACCTCAGCCCAGTCCACCAATCACACCTCCCATTATATGACATGGGACTCAGTAATAATAATAATAATAATAATAATAATAATAATAATAACAGGGCTGTGAGGGAGGGTGGACAGGGCTGCTCTCAGACATTAACACTTGTTTGAAAATAAAATGCAATTTAGAACAAGAACAATGTGTTACATTTACACAGACTGGTTTCTAAACACATTTATTGTATTTTAAAGACACATTACTGGGAGTAATATTTCTGTGGAGCTCTGTTACACACTGAGACACGCCAACAGCATGGAGCTCCCCGCAAAAGAGGGACATTAGGATAGAAACAAAGGGGCATAGGGAATTGGGCTCAAACTAGGGACACTTGGGAGGTATGCCAAATGTCAGCTGAGCTATTTATAAACTGATAGCAGCTGCACTGTCAGCCACCCATTTATAAATCACTTCCAACAGTCTTGTGTTTTGCTGCTGGGGAATAAACTATTTATCCCAAAAACCGTGCTTAAAAATCAGAGAATAAAGCCACGCACAACACAGCATTTTATTTATGTGTTTGTTTTTAGGTCACCAGCCCATCACACATAGTGTTGGTGAGTGATACTTAATCTTTTTTTTTTTTTTTTTACATGGACTCAAATTATGTATATGGTATCAGCAGTGCGATACATTCAGTTGAAAAATCAATCTAAACTTGATGAAATATACAATTAAAATACATTTTAAAAAACACCTTAAATGCACTCTTAATATTATCACAGTGCTCTCTTGTGCACTGGGAAAGGCAATGCTCTATAATTAATTTTCCTTAATTAATAATGGGGCAACTAATGTCCAAGATCAACAATATACTTAAAGGAACACTCAAGGCACCAAACCACTTAATCTAAATATGTGATGGTGTCAGGAGGCCCTCAAGGCACTTTTACCTCAAGGGGTTAAACCGCTCTCAAACGGTTTAACCCCAAAGTTGAGCTCCACAGCAATAAAATCCACAATAACAATGAGTATTACAGAGCTCCTCAGCAATACAAGTCGTAGTAATGTGCTGAGTGAATACTCTACCACAGAGCTCCACGATACTAAACGCTTTAAACGTGTATGTGACAGTGGTTCTGCTTGCATTATAACAGGAATATCTGATGTACAACCAGTGTACAGTGTTGCTTGTCACTGTGAATGCATTTGAGACTATTCTATAGAATCACTCTCTTCATTTAATATTACTACCAACATTGGTACATTCCCTTTTTTCCCTACACAGTTGAAACCAGTTATCTATAAAGATACCGTACAGTTTCACAAATGGGCCATAAATGTTTACTTTACAGACTGTTGATATGGTACTGTATTTGTTTGCTATCAGAAATGTGAATGTCGTAGAACAGGTCATTACTTGTCACATGACATTGCAATCTACATTGTTCTTCATATTAACTCTTTCTTTTCAGTTTTGGTGTATAAATCTTGTCCCTGCTGTCTCATTGCTCAAATCTCTGACATTTAGGAGTTAAATCACATTTAATGCAGCACTAGTCGCACCTCCCTGTTTGTAACTTATACAGCCTTCCTAAACACTTCCTATAAAGTAAGATCTAATGTTTAAACTTCCTTGATTGCACAGTCTGTTTAATTTACAATATATTTTCTCTTGTACTGTTAAAGGGGCAATATAGTCACCCAGGCCATCTCATTAAAGTAGTTGGGGTACAATGTTCCTGTTCTACTTAGTCCTGCAATGTAAATCATTGCAGTTTTTGAAAGACTAAAACTCCAGTGGCTGCCAATAAAAAAAAAACTTCAGTGGCTGCCAATCAGAGAGCCACTAAAGGGACTTCCTGGATGCTACAAATATATTACCAAAAAATCCACTATATATAACAAGGTGACCACCACAAAAGTGGGTAAATAAATAACCAGAACAAATTAACCTTTAACAGTAGATTGCAAGAAAATTCCTCATATTAAAGACCAAAAAATATACAATCTAAAAGAATAAAAAGAATGCAAATAGTATAACACTATATGTCACCAGAAAATCGATGGGGTAATTATTGTACTGACAAAGGTACAATTGATAGTAGGCACGTAAAAACCTTTATTGTATATGAGCTTCTTTCTCTTCCCTTCCGTTCAGTACATGGAAGGAAAGGAGAGAGACAAACACATAGTGTAGCAATATAAACATAGTTAGCAGCTTTATTTAGGTTGCACTCACAAGATATCCTTGACCAGGTGGCAAAAATAAAAAGTAAAAAAAAAACACTATATGTGTCTCTTAGCCCTACATGTTTCATCCAATGCAGGACTTCCTTGGGGACATCTGTAGTGTGAATGAAGATCTTAGGACGCTGGCGGACACTGAGTCTCCTAAATGATGCTGGATGTCCTCACGCTCTGCATGAATACATCCAGGGTCAGTGAAACCCCATAGAAAAGCAATGAGGCTCACGGCACATGCACGTATGCCCCCCCCATCAGATTATGTCAGAGGAGGTGAAGCGCTGACCCAGTGCCGAGGGATGGAGGGAGGCGAGGGGGGAAACCAGTCGGCGCTATTGCATTAGGAATACAGATTTGTATTCCAAACACTACAGTATCCCTTTAATAACCTACTAAACGCTGCAAGATACTGTAACGGTGCAGAGCAGCGGCGGCTCTAGACTTTGTGAGGCCTTAGGTGAAACCCAAACATGAGGCCACCACTAACACCCAAAGTGGAAGGAAATTGGGGTTGCATTGTGTGTGTATGGTGCTGTAGTTGTATTGAAGGTGAAGCTTGCAGAGCTGGATACAGAAAGCTAGTCTCTTTATTCATTGTTCAGAGGCATGCAGTGTTGCGGCTTCCTGTGCCCCGCTGCGTTGTGAGCTCTCCGACTGTAGTTATGGCATAATTTGCAAACTAAATTAAATTAATGTAGTTATGGCATAATTTGCAAACTAATCATTTTTACACGACTGTGGGGTATGACTACATAGCCTTGCAGTCGTGTATACATTACTGCCGGTGTGTGTATTTCTGAGTGTGTCTGGCATTGTCTACCTGTGTATGTGCATGAAAGTGTGTGTCTGGCCGAGAGTATCCTTGTGTGTGAATGTACAGTCAGGTCAATAAATAATGGGACATTGACACAATTCTAATCTTTTTGGCTCTATACACCAACACAATGGGTTTGAAATGGAACAAACAAGATGTGCTTTAACTGCAGACTTTCAGCTTTAATTTGAGGGTATTTACATCCAAATCAGGTGAACGGTGTAGGAATTACAACAGTTTGTATATGTGCCTCCCACTTTTTAAGGGACCAAAAGTAATGGGACAGATTAACAGTCGTAAATCAAACTTTCATTTTTTAATACATGGTTGCAAATCCTTTGCAGTCAATTACAGCCTGAATTCTAGAACGCATAGACATCACCAGACGCTGGGTTTCATCCCTGGTGATGCTCTGCCAGGCCTCTACTGCAACTGTCTTCAGTTTCTGCTTGTTCTTGGGGCATTTTCCCTTCAGTTTTGTCTTCATCAAGTGAAATGCATGCTCAATCAGATTCAGGTCAAGTGATTGACTTGGCCATTGCATAACATTTCACTTCTTTCCCTTAAAAAAACTCTTTGGTTGCTTTTGCAGTATGCTTCGGGTCATTGTCCATCTGCACTGTGAAGCGCCATCCAATGAGTTCTGAAGCATTTGGCTGAAGATGAGCAGATAATATTGCCCGAAACACTTCAGATTTCATCCTGCTGCTTTTGTCAGCAGTCACATCATCAATAAATACAAGAGAACCAGTTCCATTGGCAGCAATACATGCCCACGCCATGACACTACTAGCACCATGCTTCACTGATGAGGTGGTATGCTTTGGATCATGAGCAGTTCTTTTACTTCTCCATACACTTCTCTTCCCATCACTCTGGTACAAGTTAATCTTGGTCTCATCTGTCCATAGGATGTTGTTCCAGAACTGTGAAGGCTTTTTTAGATGTTGTTTGGCAAACTCGAATCTGGCCTTCCTGTTTTTGAGGCTCACCAATGGTTTACATCTTGTGGTGAACCCTCTGTATTTACTCTGGTCCAGTCTTCTCTTGATTGTTGACTTTGACACACATACACCTACCTCCTGGAGAGTGTTCTTGATCTGGCCAACTGTTGTGAAGGGTGTTTTCTTCACCAGGGAAAGAATTCTTTGGTCATCCACCACAGTTGTTCTCGGTGGTCTTCCGGGTCTTTTGGTGTTGCTGAGCTCACCGGTGCGTTCTTTCTTTTTAAGGATGTTCCAAACAGTTGATTTGGCCACACCTAATGTTTTTGCCATCTCTCTGATGGGTTTGTTTTGTTTTTTCAGCCTAATGGTGGCTTGCTTCACTGATAGTGACAGCTCTTTGGATCTCATATTGAGAGTTGACAGCAACAGATTCCAAATGCAAATAGCACACTTGAAATGAACTCTGAACCTTTTATCTGCTCCTTGTAAATGGAATAATGAGGGAATAACACACACCTGGCCATGGAACAGCTGAGCAGCCAATTGTCCCATTACT